CCCTTATTCGATAAGGAACCTGAGGCACAGAGAGGGGATGTGACTTGCCTCGGGCACACAGCCAGTGAGTGGCTTTGCCAGGATTTGGACTGAGGCAGTCTGGTTCAGAGCCTGTAGTCTTAACCACTGCAGCTTTGACAGAGTTCACAGGCTGTGCCCCACCAGTGACTTCTGTGACAGAAAGAGCAGGTTGGTTGCACAAGTACCATGAGCAACACACTTGCTCTGCACACGGGAGTGCTCAGTGCAAGCTCAGCTAACACCGCAGGATGAAGACTGGGGGCGGGGTGCCTCTTCCAGCCTGGGTAGGAGCCGCTGAGCACTTGAAGGTCACAGAAGGAAGAGCTTCTACAGACCAGCCGTCAGTCCCCGTCACTCATCAGGAGAGCGGGGCAATCAGGGAGCAGACAGCAACCCTGTGACGTGACTCACGAGGACGCCTCACGGACGCGCAGCATGCTGACATCAGGCACCCACGGGAACACTCCGGCAGTGCGTCGTCTCTCCACCGTCTCAGATTTCACCCCTTAATCCCAAGGGCTTCTAAGAAAATCCTGGATATCACCACTAATGATATGCGCAGCAGCAGACCTACGGAGCTTTTCCAGCCCACGGCTGCATCACATGGCGAGCACCTTCCACATCCTTGCGGCGTCGGCCCACGGTGTAACTCGGGTTTGCCCTTTGGCAATAACAGTCCCAGCACCCTGGAATATTAACAGCCCTGGCAGGCGTCCCGGCCACACACAGGGTTTGCCTGGGGAAGCGCGGCTGTTTCTCGCGCATCGCTGTGTTTCCTCACCTGTCGTGCATCCTTCAGCCTCCTGCCCTGTCACAACAAAGGGCATCCATGGGCAAGAATGCAGCGACGTTAGAACAAAGGCCTGGAAACAGGTCTAAATCACCTTCAGGACCAGTCATTCGCAGACTTTCTGTTTTGGGACTGCTCACAGAGGAAAAGGGGAAGAAATTGGTTGTCATCGACCATCTCAGGTGTGGGGTTTGGTATAAAGTCACAAACACACAAAATCTTGGGTCTCAAATATGACTCAAACCAACATGTGTAAGATTGTTGTGTAGCTCTAGCTGTAACTTCGTAAGTGTTCTCCAGAGACCATGAGAATGCTCGGCAGTTCTCAACTTATGAAAGGACTGTGTGGCTAAATTCACAGATTGTTTTAAACTGGGAACATACTTTTCTTTGAACATGTGTATGATTGTTAAAAATTGCAGTATTACATATGCACAGAAAAAGGCACTAATTTTTTTTTTAAAGATTGGCACCTGGGCTAACAACTGTTGCCAATCTTTTTTTTTTTTTTTTCTGCTTTATCTCCCCAAACCCCACCCTGTACATAGTTGTATATCTTAGTTGCAGGTCCTTCTAGTTGTGGGATGTGGGACGCCGCCTCAACGTGGCCTGACGAGCGGTGCCATGTCTGCGCCCAGGATCTAAACCCTGGGCTGCTGCAGCGGAGCGTGCGAACTTAACCACTCGGCCACGGAGCCGGCCCTGTAGGCACTAATTTTAAGGGTTCAGCTTGATGGATTTTTACATAGGTGTAAACAGCCAGATCACGGTTTAGCACCCAGGAGGCTCCCTCATGCCCCTTCCCAGACATCAGCCATCTCTCAGAGGTGAGGTAACCTCTATTCTGAATTCTGCCAGCAGAGACTAGCGTTTTAAGGTAACTTTTTTATTGATATAGAACAGACATGTTCAGTGCAGAAAGTGAACTGATCTCAAGGTCGAGTGAAATAAATACTTAAGTCTGTATACACCCACGTGACTACCACCCAGAGCAGTGCATCGAAATCATCGTGCCCCAGGAGGCTCCCTCAGCCCCTTCCGGGTTAAGAGCTGTCTCCCGCAGGAAGCCCTCTTCTTGGATCACCGTCACTTACCGCTGCCCGTGCGGGTCTTTACATAAACGGGACTGTGCAGGATGCACACCTGCCTGGCTTTTGTTCAGCATCGTTCCACCAAAATTCCCCCATAAATGATGATTACAAGCATTTGTTTTAATTGGTAGCATAAAAAGCTGTGTTGTGTAAGCAGAGGAACCCTGTATGCCACTGACAATTCAGACCGTCTTGCTAAGTGCCTACCATGGTCTAACATCTCGCAGTAACTTTAACGCCTCCAAAGCAATGAAATGGTAGGCTAGCCACCGAGCAGTTACAGGACAGAGAATGAAGTCTACGCACCTGGAAGGGTGCATGCTACGCTCCTTATATCTGGGGCCGTTTTCCCTGTTTTTCTCCCCAAACCTGAGTGCATAGTTGTACGTCCCAGTTGTAGGTCCTTCTACTTCTCCTATGTGGACGCCACCACAGCGTGACCTGATGAGCAGTGTGCACGTCCACACCCAGGTTCCGAACCTGTGAACCCTGGGCTGCTGAAGCAGAGCATGTGAATTTAACCACTACATCACCAGGCCCCCTTTTTCCCTCTTTATAAAGAAGAAAGTCAGGTGCCCAGCGTGCACCCTGCTAACGGGAAGATGTCACCCTGCTGCCTCCTCCTCTCACACTGGCGTGTGACGTTGGGGCTCCTGTCCAGCCAGGCAGCTGGATGGAAACGTGTTCTCTGAGTACGTCGATGCCACTGTGGAGCTGGGAGGCCGTACCGTGATATAGAGCCCTTCAAAGAAGCCGTGATTGTGTAATAAATAGACTCATTAGTAACGAGCTGTACGTCTTCTAAGGAAAGGTTCGTATCAACGGCATCAGAACAAAAAAGGTTCAACTGAACGTAAGGATTTTTAGAGAGATTTATGGTTTACAATACGATTCCAGGTACTTTTATCTCATCTGATCCCATTGCTCAGAGGAGTTAAGTGACTTGCCTGAGGCCACACAGCTTGAACCTAGAACTAACTCCCATCCTGTGCTTTTTCCACCACACAATACGGACAGCAGTAACTTAAAAACAATGGTAATATAACTGAATTGCATTAAAACGAAATAAATAGAAAACAAAAACTCTAAATGCAGAAAAATTACATGATCTAGTTTATTAATCCTTCATTAAAACACAAAATATAACATACTATATAAAAAAATTTACTTTGTAAATACCCAAACTCTTTCTTTATATAATATGCTCATATAAATATATACCTGAGTAAGACATGAACGGAAGGATACGCTCTGAAATGTTAACAGTGACTATCTCTGGGGTCGAATTATCGGCAATTTCGTGTGTGTTTGGAAGAGGATGAGCTTGTCTCCATTTTCTACATTTTCTACAATATATGCATGACCTATATACATTCTAAAAGAGCCTTTTGTCATTTTACTGTTACACAGTCATTTTGATATTCTACTTTTAAAATAGCCACCTCATGGTTTAACTCAATGAAAGCGCATTTGGAATATGCAGCCACCACTTCCTGAGCGTCTCCCTGCTGTTTCACATACGTGATTCCATTAACTTTCACAAGTGTCACCATGCGGTACATTATCCCCACGTCACAGAGGCGGCGGCTGATGCTCAGAGAGGTTCCTCTGTCGAGACTGCACCGTCAGGACCGGGGCCTTGGTTGTGGTGTGCTCCAAGGCCCGCCTTCTCCCCTCCTCCCTCGGGGAGCTACCCCCAGCGTCTCCCCTGCGGGGGAGCTGCTCTCACAAGCCGGCGCAGCCTCTCAGAGCCCCTTCTTTAAAAATACCCTTAAAGTATTAAAATATTTATTTATTTGTGAGGAAGATTGGCCTTGAGCTAGCATCTGTTGCCAATCTTTCTCTTTTTGCTGAGGAAGACTGGCCCTGAGCTAACATCCGTGCCCATCTTCCTCTATTTTACATGTGGGAACGCCACCTCAGCACGGCTTGATGAGCAGTGCTAGGTCGGCACCCGGGATCCAAACCTACGAACCCTGGGCTGCTGATGCTGAGCGCATGAACTTAACCACTACACCAGCAGGCTGGCCCCTAAAGTAGACGGTTTTTAAGTGATTACATGTATCATAAAAAGAGTGGAAGGATATGCTCCAAATGGTATATATGGCCAGGGAGTGGAATTGATAGTGCTGGGACTTTTATTTTCTAAGCTTTTATATTTATCTTTTTCCTTTTTAAAATTTTCTATAATAGTTTTTTAAAAAAAGATGAGAGTCAGAAAAGTCATAGACTTTTCCTATACAGTCTGTCTTTTGAACGCTGGTGCATCTCGATACCAGGTTCACGACACAAACCATCTCCGGCAACGCAGACAAGATGTGCTCTCCTCACCACCCCTCGTCTCCTCACCCGGATGTCCTGCTGGACCACAACCTCCGGGGCTCCACCTGTCCCACTGACAGTTCCATCTCCAATGCCAGGACGGCACCTGGCCAATGAAAGCACTTGGCACATAACTGGCAAATGAGTCAGTGGAAGATACGCACTTTCCTCTTCTCACGTTTCAGACATCCAGGCATATTCTCACATTAACGTCCAACTAGCACACGGGTTAAAGTCAGGTGGAAGAAAGAGAATGCACAGGAACTATCTTTGCTTCTGAATCTCACAACTTGCCAAAGGGGCCCTGTTATGGGTTGAACTGTGTCCCCCTAAAAAAGATATGTTGAAGTCCCCACCTCTGGTCCCTCAGAACGTGACGTTATTTGGAAACAAGGTCTCTGCAGGAGTAATTAGTTAGGATGAGGTCACACTGGAGTAGGGTGGGTCCCTAACCCAATGACTCTGTCCTTATAAGAAGACGGCCACGCGAAGACGGAGACACGGGGAGAAGGCCATGTGGAGACGGAGCAGTGGGGTGACACATAAGCCAGACATTGCCAGCAAACCCCCAGCGCCAGGAGGGGCTCCCCGACAGGTCTCGGAAGTGCAGGGCCTGCCGACGCCCTGGCTGCAGCCTCCAGTCTGCAGAAGGGAGAGACAGGAAACGTCTCCTGTTGTGAGCCGCTCAGCTCGTGGCACTTTGTACCAACACAGTGGCCTTGACTTTGAATTCTGGCAAATAATGGGGAGGAGACAGGCACCTGGACAGCACGGCCTACAGGTTTTCAATGACTTCCAGTTTATTTTCTGATAAATGGAAACTATTTCAAGAACATGCCCATTCTAGGGAATGCTAGAAATGCAGATGATAAACACACACACACAACTACAGTAACTGAAACGTCAACACTGAAATCAGCGTTACAACCTTGGTCTTCAAAGATCCACATTTATGACTGTAGTAAAATAAAGTTTCAAAAAGTCAAATTTCCTTAATACTTCATTTCAATATTAATCTAACTTTTTACAGTCTACCAAAATGGTATTATTTCATCTGTTTCTTTTAAGACTGGCGTTCTTCTTAAGTGAAATGTTCACGTGGGGACAGCAAGTGAAGCTGTTCCAGCTTCCAGAGGGGCCTCGCTTCCCTAGGTGTCGCCTCTTAAGACTCTTGGGCCCTACGCTGAGAACCAAGGAATTAAAATATTAACAATAAACACTAAACAAAATTTCATTGACAAAGAAAAACTAGGACATTCATTTGGTAACAACACTTTTTAAGCCTCTGCTTTTCCACATGCTTTTCTATGGTTTCATCACTCTAGAAAATTCTATGAACATTAATTGACTGAATGGCAGTTATATTAAGGAGAAACTGTATTTCTACACCTGAGACATTATCAACGAGATAGATGATGCTGAATAGGATCCTATAACAATGATATTTTAAAAACAATTTTTTTAGGCAGTTTATTGTTCATACTAATAAAAATAAAACATTTCTCACGAATATAGCCCCAAAGCCAAGGTAATTCTTGGGGGGATGAAGCATCCCAATAAATCGAAGGCAGATTCTAAGTAACTGACATCACAGGGCCTAGGATGGACCTAAAAGGCCGCAAACTCACACCACCCTCCCGCTGGGTGTGCGCAGGACCGGCTGGCCGGGGACGTGGAGGCAGGCACACAGCGACACTGACTGAAGGAAGCAGGGCTGCCTTGGACCCCCGTGGGCACAGAACCATGGGGAAGCATCAGCCTATGGCTCCGTGTGGCAGGAGTCATGAGGAGCACAAAGAAGAAGTCCGAGACGCCTGGCTCGTCGGTTCGCTGGGTGGGCTTGCTCGGGAAGGGCCGGCCTTTCCTCGAGCTCTCTCTGGTGGTGTTCATCTCACAAACACTTCTGTACGTCTCACAGACACTCACGCAGTGCTCGTAACGAGCCAGGCTCTGTTCAAGTGCTTTACGAGTCTTACCTCACGTCATCCTCCTCACAACCCCACGAGGTAGCTACGATCAGCCGGTTTCACGGAGGAGAGAGGCACAGGGATCGACGAGGCAGCTGCCCAAGGTCACGAGGCTGGAAAGTGCTGATTTCGGATTCAAACCCCTTTCAAGGGAAGAAATGACGCCTTTGGCTAGGGAGAGAAATTCGGCCTAGAAAAATCCTAGGAACCGCCTGAGTGAAAAAGGAGAAAGCAGCACCAGAAGCGACAGTCCACTTGCTCGTCACGCCTCAAGGATGCGGCCTCTCAATCACGTTCATCTTTAACGAGACAGATGAAACTGTGCAGAGCCGAGTGCGGGATTCCTCCCATTCTTAGGACGTCGGAATGTGTTCTGAAACGTCTGAACACAGCACACCAGCTACCCCATCAGAGCGGATTCCAGAAGCACTAGCTCCTCCATCCCAGGGCCTAGCACGGAAAAGACGAGACATAAATATCGAGTCTCGTATAAAAAAGTGGTTTCAAACAAGGTTTAAGAACAAGCTTGGACATCCCAATTCATTATCTTATCGTATTCTTGAATTCTTTGCTTTATGTGAGAAAGTTTATTCTTCAGATAATCACAGCGTTCCTTTTTCTCCAGAAATGTAGGGTCCTGGAAAAGAAACACAGCCATCACTTCAGCCTCCGGCTTCATCGTCAAACACAGAAACATACATTATCACCCAGAAAATGACCCTTCTCAAGGCCCACTTTCCTGCAGATTTCAAAATCTGCCAAATAAGAATAACACGGGAGCTCCCTACGTTTATAGTCGACTTTATTTTTTAGAACAGTTTTAGGTTCATGGCAAACTCGAGTGGGCAGTACAGACAGCTGAGGCACCTTTAACTTTAGTAAAAGACATAAAAAGATAACTAATACGCATAGAAAAGCTGCAGGAAAGCTCTCTCCAGCTCTGCGGACGTGAGCAGTCAAGGATGGGGCTGGAGGCGTGTGAGCTGACACTCTTCCCGAAGGAACTGTGGGGGCGGAGGTCTGTGGGCGCCGAGTCAGGAGGCAGCACGAACTCAGGACAGAGACGAGCGGAACGGGCACCCGTGCTCCCTCCCTGACAAGCAGCATCTTAAGAAATACAAACTAAGTACCTCTTCAGCTAAAAGAATCTAGAGTCTGTCAGTTGTCACCACTGTACCTGGATGGGAACGTACTTGGAAGAAGAAAACGGTTTTACTCACATTCTTTTTTTTCTTAAACTCTTCGTGGATTCTCGAAATTCTCTCATGTTCCTAGAAGTGACATATCGTATACTTGAATTAAAACACTTGCATTTACTCAAATCGTATCTCAAGGTGGTCTCAGAGGACAAGGGGAATTGGAATAGGAAGCAGTTTCTGCCGAAGACTATATAATGAGCGTGTTCACACGCACAGATTCAACTCGCTGGACGAACATCTGCGGGCTTGTCTGCCGGCCACTGGGGGCCCGTGGGGGCGAGAGAAAGGGCTGCGGGAACCCAGAACCGAGGCTGGGCTGCTGCCTGCCAGCGCGTGACCGTGGGCAGCTCCTTACCCCGAGACTCGGCTCCCTCGAGGGTAAAACGGAAACAATAACCGTGGTACCTCAGAGGGCCGAGACGCTCGGGCATCTGAAACCACCCTCATTAAGCGCGGGCACAGGATAAGCACACGAGCTGTAATTACCACCTTCGCCCCTTTGGAAAGTTCTTTTTCAAGTTACTGGGTATTGGGATTAAGAGGTTGAGAGTATTTGACTTTTGAAAATAGGTACTTTAAGGTTCCCTCTAACTTTATTCTAGATTTTATAATAAATGTGAAATTTGTTAAGATGTCGAACAGTCCATACAAAGGGAACAGCTTACTAGAGCAAGGCCCTCATGTATCCATGAAAACCTACGCTAAATAAAACATCAAGTGTAATAACATGTTGTTCTAAAGGCTTCCCCCCAGGACCTTTTCCATCAGTGACCCACATCCTCCTCCCAGTATCTTTCAACTCTTCGATGTCTGTTACGCACTCAGATCCTGAGCACCACCGTGTGTTGGGTGTTCGCCAGCAGCGAGAGCCCCCTGGTAACTCAGCCGATGTCTCTACGAAAGGTCCTGGGCTGGGGGTCAACCAGCTGCCCGGGGGTGGGGGGCTGTGCTGGGGACGGAGGCAGAGGGGCAGAGGAGAGAAACTGAGTTGGAGAGGGTGAGGACCAGAGGGGTTATTTTGAGCAATATTCCTGTTTTATAGGGTTAGAAAAGTCATGTGCTTGTTTCATTTTCCAAGGGCACACAGTCAGGCTGGACAGAGGACCCGTGCCTCCCGCAGGCCCACTGGGCTTCACACATGCCCTGGGGCCGTGCTGGGAACCCAGCCAACCTTTGGGGACTCCTGCACATGGCACAGCTCAGCCTGCGAGAGGGTGAGTGTTTCCACTTTAGGGGAGGACTGGGCAGCCACAGAACCCCCGCGGCCCTGTCTGGCCACCTACTCGCCACGCCAGGGCAGAGGAAATGCTGCTGTGGACAGCGTGTGGGAGCACCATGGCACTCAGTCTCTCAGCTCCACCGTAATCGGGATGCTCCCAAGCCTGAGCCCTTGGCCCCTCCTGCAAAGCCTCAAACCAGAGACCACCGGGCTGGGCTCAGGCTGCCCGTCACGGCCGGGCTTCTCAGCCTCCATCTGCCAGCCAGCTCGCTGCTCCGCCCTGTGCCCATCCTCACTCCTTCCTCACTGCCCTGAGGGCCTCTGGACCCGGTGGCCCTTCTTGGACCCTTGCACCTTGCTTGCTGTCCAGATGGTACCCCCTGACCCTTGACCTGCAGTATCCCCTGGTATCGGGTCTCCTAGGCAACACCATCCCCTCACCCCTGGACCAGGAGAATGTCACTGTTCCACAATAACGATAACCGACTTAAATGTGCGCTTAAAAGTCTGCAGTTGAAACAAAGATGGTCAACGAATACGGGTCTCAGGAGAAGAATAGATACATAACATGTCTACATATTAAACACACATACATTAACTTGCTTCACATTTATTAGAAAATGCTGTATGAGCTTTTAAAATTCTAATTACACAAGCACAGTCATGCGCCATGTTCTGAGAAATGCAATTTCGTCATGTGCAAACATCACAGAGTGACACACACACACCTAGACGGTAGAGCCCCCTACACACCTGGGCCACAGGGTACTAACCCTATGGGACCACCGCTGTGTCTGTGGTCCATCGTTGACCAAAACGTCGTGATGCGGTGCACGACTGTAATAGATTAGGTTAACCTACCCCTTTAAAAACGACAGGGCATTATGCAGAAGTGCTCACGGCAGCATTATTCGTAATGGCCAAAAGTGGACACAACCCAAATGCCTGTCAACTGATAAATGGATAAACACAATGTGGTCTATCCACACAACGGAATATTATTATTCCACCACAAAAAAGAATGAGGCACTGACTCCCACTACAATATCAATGGACCCTGAAAACATTATGCTAAATGAAAGAAGCCAGACACAAAAGGCGACATATTCCATCACTGCATTTATATGAACTGTTCAAAATAAGCAAATACAGCCCACAGAAAGGATGTCGGCAGCTGTCAGCGGTTGGTGAGCTGGGAACGCAGAGTGAGCACTAATGGGTATGGGGTTCTTTTTGTGTGGCAAAAACGTTCTGGCATTAGCGAGGGGTAACGGTTGTATGACTCTGTGAATATACTAAAACCCACTGAACAGTACCCTTAACAGGGTGGGTTTTGTGGCACGTGAATTATATCTCGATAACAAACATGTGTCTGAGCCAGCCCCATGGCCTAAGTTAAGTTTGGCACGCTCCATTTCGGGGGCCCGGGTTTGGTTCTGGGCCACAGACCTACACCACTCGTCTGTCAGTGGCCAGGCTGTGGCAGCATCCCACGGAGAAGAACTTGAAGGGCTTACAGCTAGGATATACAACCATGCACTGCGGCTTTGGGGAGGGAAAAAGAGGAAGATTGGCAACAGATGTTAGCTTGGGGAGAATCTTTCCCAGGGGGGGAAAAAGTATGTCTGATAAAAAGTGCCCCCGATTATGAGGGCATTCCAATTTTAGAGATATTAAAATGTGAAAAAAAAGATGATTACAGAAAAGGCTTAAGTCCTCTGTGACCGCCATGCGCACCCCGGGGTCCTTGGTGTCATAAGCACGGTTGTCATCTGACGGAGGCGCCTGGCAGCTCGCGTGTGTGCAGCTCCAGATCCACCCTCCCGCCTTCCCCACTGTGCCTTTGGGCCTGGCTGGTGCCCGCTTGGCTGTTACCCACCCCTGGAGGATGCACAGCCCCCAGCGGCTGCCTACACCTGCCCACCCCTTTGTGAACGAAGCCCTCACGTGATCTTAGCGTGAGGGCGCCACCCGTCTGCTCTGGACCCTGACTGACTCAGTGTGTATCTTGGGCAAATTCATATTTTACTTACACAAGAAAATAAAACACTGTTTAATAACTGAAGGCAAAAGACCTTCAGTCATATAGTTTGAGCTGGAATCCCGACTAGTGACCTTGGAGACCTCAAATGGCCTTCCTAGACACAGACAGCAGACATGGACGGTTATGGCCTCTCTGCACTTCAAAAGGGTCTATCCTTCCTCCAACTGCGGGAGCTCCTCCCAGGCGGCTGCGGGCACTGACCTGCTGGTTCTCCGCACGACGGGGCAGCCTGCTCATGAGGGCGTGCAGCTCGTCGAGCTTCCTGAGCACGGCCTGGACTTCCGCAGAGAGCTCCTTGTACTCCGAGAACTGGTCCTGGAACACGGCTTTGTAGCGTTCCCGTTCACCGTCCGTGTGAATCACGGGGTATTTTCTGAGGGCGAGATAAACCACAGTGATCACTTTGTCATGTCAACAAGCTGAATGGGAAGTCGGCTGGGCCTGGTCCTCACTGAGTGCGTCGCAGCTTCCGTTCAACACCCTGCCTCTCGGATCACAGACAACTGTTCACGTTCACAGGAATTTAAGTGCAGATTGCTAACTGGGAGACGATCAGGAAAACGACAGGCCCAGACGCCACCTCGCAACTTCCACCCTGGAAGAGCGGGAGAACTCACGCCACATAGTCGGGCATCATGATGGGCTTGGGGATGTGGCCCGGGGGGATGTGGCCGCTCAGCAGCTCAGGTTTCATTGTTGTTGCTCTCAAGTCTTTGAAATTAACTTCTTGGTCCCTCCGTCTGTCATCACCGGTGGTCATTTCACACTACGGTTAGGGAGAAAAAGAGGATTTATTTATAAACAGCAGCAGAAGAAAACAACCACCACCCACAATTACTTTTAGAAGCAAATGGAGGGGCAGGAGGAAGAAAAGCAGAAACAGCAACCAACACTTCACTCCGGCTGGTCACAAAGCCGTCCGGACGTGCCTGTAGGAGCCGCAGGGAACCAGGGAGGACGAGACAGGGACCCACGCGTGCAGCTGTCACAGGTGGATGGCGGAAGGGGAACATGGCGTCTAAAGGACTCTGTTTACTTAGGATGCGCGGGGAGGTCTAGGTCAGCCGAGAGAGCTCCAGGGGCCTTTTCAGTGAAAAGTGGTGCATTTGGAAGAAGGGGAGGAAGAGGAGACGAAATGGCCCATAGAGAAAGCAGGGGACAGGCCTCAACAGCTAAAAGAGCCGAGCCTCGGGGAGCAGGAGCGGCCCAGGGGGAAGCCCCTAGAACGGGCAGGCTCAGGTGGATGCCAGGCTGTAGGGTTGGGGAGTGACCGCTGGGGAGCCCCGTGGGCAGTGCCCAGAACACCGGCCCAGCTGGTGAGGCTGGTGGATGCCAGGAGAGGGGTTTCCATTCTCTACATAACGGAGTAAGGTTCAGAGAGGTTAAGTACATTCTCCAAGGTCTCACAGCCATGAAGTGCAAAAACCACGACGCAAACCCAGAACTTCCTGCCTCATTGATGCTTTATGAGAGTCACACGAGGAAACCACTCTACTTCAGCGTGTATCGGTCAATCCTCAAGTTCCCTCTAGTTCCCGCAGCAGCCGAATCTGTGCCACCGGCCCCAGCCTTCGGCACACACTGGCTGAATTCATTAACCTCCGAGCTAAGCTCAGGGTGCTGGTGAGGGGCCTCCTCCCTGAAGCAAAATCTCAAACACGGCTCTGAAACCTTGCCCTCCACCTTGCCAGGCGGCTTCTGCCATCCCTGCTCCCTGGTTTCCCTGCCGGAGGCTGCCTTTGAGGTCTGGTCCAACACCAGCTCGTTCTCAAAACCACCAGCTCTGAGCTCACAAACGGCGCAGCCCACGGATCAGCCCCAGGGAAGGTCATGAAGAGGAGAGGCTGCAGCCCGGACGGGTGGGAGGGGACCAGGTGGCCTGGCTGCAGACAGCACGCCTCCCAGGCCAGCAGCAGAATGCTGTGTGTGGAGTTGAACACCCCGAGGCAACGAGGCCTCCCAGGAGTCGGGGAACCATCCCGAGTTCGTGTCTATTCTGCCTTGTTCTCCGCCCAGACTGACAAGAGTTTCACACATCGAGGTGTATGGGGTAACTATTCGGGTTCAAAACTGATTCAGCTTGAACTAACAAGCCTGACCTGTGGCCTATTGAACACACACTGCACACCTGCTTAACCATGAAAGCGAAGAACGCTGTCTCTCTAGATAAGAACGCAGACTTCCCCTCCTGCTCCCTATTGCTAACGCCCTACTGGGGACGCCCAGATTAGTCCCTCTCCGGCATCAGGGTCACGTTGACCTGCGAATTTGCAACTGAACACCTCTTTGAAACTTTGATGAAAACGTATCCTGGGTGTGTTAATGTATGTTCTTTGTTCTAAAAAGATATGGTTGTACTGAAACCCATGCTTCTCCGGAACGCCTACTAGGGCCTGCCTGGGTTATAATCCTCGCTCTTGCTCAAGTAAATTCACCTTATTTCTCCTATTTGTAGGACGGTTATTGGCTATTTTGCGCCGACAAGATGAATTCTTACATGTTCAATCTTGGAAAGAATCCCGGTATTCAACATTAGGGGAAACTCCTTTGTCTTAAATAAATGGGCTTCTACTTCACGGCATCCGTCTTCAGCTTCTAAATAGCTAACGACGGCTGCTGAAGAAGCAGCGGGAACAGGCTCCCCTCGGATCTTTTCGGCAGAGCCCAGGTCAGGCTCAGATTTCCTGGTTCCCAACAGGAACTCCGCCCAGGGCGTGCCATCTGAGGCTTCGCCCAGGGAAGGTTTTCCCCAGAGGAGCTATTCACTCTCCTTACCTGCCCAGCCAGAATGCCATAGAAACAGGGTGTTTTAAGAAGTCAGGATATTTCCACACAGACTGTCTCATCTGCTTTACATTTTTTTGTTTTTATGCTCTTAATATTTTCCCCCACTTTTTTGGGGTAAACCTCACTGCTCATCAGTTCAGAAAACCCTATTGCGAAAAAAAAAATCTGAAACTAGACATGAGACAATGAACCAGCCCTGCTGAGGGATTCGTGCACGGGTGTGGTGGGCCAGCGGGGACAGACCACGCCCAGCGCCTCCTGGTCACAAACCCGCGGCCCAGACCCCAGGTGACCTTTCTCTGCTTCGGGCAAAAACCAGTCTTGTCAGCAAATACCAGAAAAGCTCCACTGTGCGGCAAGAGAAAGTAATTAAGCAACGGGATAAGTAATGCTATGGATATAATTACTAAGCTTTCCAAACTGAAAACGGGCTGAATGAATACAATGTCCAGTTAGAAATGGAGCCGGAGACAGGCGTTTTGGTGACCACATGCCCCATTTCTGACCTCTCCTCGCCCCCCACACTGAGTGTGCAAGGTGGGACACACAGGCCCTCATCCCAACACATACCATCACTTTTGATGCCCGATTTGATTCTGGTTTTTCTAGCTTGGAAAAAAGTCTGCTCAGCACTTGGGGATTCATTAGAATTTGTTTCTGTCTCTATTTGATCTTAGTTTACGTCTGTGTATTATTTCTTTATAAAATCATCTTATTTGCTTTTTAAAAATTGTGTTTGTTAAAATACCAAATAAGAAGGGACAGCCTCGTAGATGGTTCCAAACAAGGGACAGGAAACACGTTCAGAGATGGTGAGTGATCTCCCTAAGGTCACAGAGCTACTGAGCAGCTGATCCAGTACTCAGACTCAGATTTGCCTGATTTTGAGGTTTATTTTTTCTTCATTACACTGCACAGCCTCTCCTGTGACAGTCCGCCAGTTCTTCCCTACTAAGCACCAGGAAGGTAGCAGGTGAAAACTATACCCAACAAGCAGCTGGAGGTCCAACATTTTCTTTTCTTTCTTTCTTTTTGCTATGGAAGATCGGCCCTGAGTTAACATCCATGCCCATTTTCCTCTATTTTGTTTGTGGGATGCCCGCCACAGCATGGCTTGATGAGCGCTGTGTAAGTCTGTGCCCGGGATCCAAACTGATGAACCCTAGGCCGCCAAAGTGGAGCACATGAACTTAACCACTGCACCACCAGGCTGGCCCCTCCAGCATTTTCTATAAGGTTTCTTGTTGAGAGGTCCAGTAGAGATTCCTCAGTTAAGTCATGAGAGCCCCTCTCGTGGAGGTCTGCCTCTAGAATATTCCTAAACATGCTGATCCACAGGAAAAGAGGCCTTTGAAAGGGTGCACTTTGCATTCAGCTCCCATATCTTGAAAGTGGAGGTTCACTGGATTCATGGGGTTCCAAATCCGCTAAGGTTATTCCTGGGGACTATTCCAGGACCTCTCAGGATCTGGGACCGGCAATGCACCCTGGATGTGCTGGGTACCACCCTCTAGGGCGGCCTGAAAGAAGGACACTAGAGCTCTCTGGCAGCGCTTCCTAGCCCTGTCCCACCGGGAGAAGCTGTGTCAGCTGCATTCTCACCGATGACACTGCCCACCCCATCATCGGGGGCAACTTCCTCCAACTGGGCCAAGCCTTTCAGGTTGACGCTACTCTGCCCCTAATCCCAGTGGGAAATCCCACCACCTCAAAGGGACTGACCCGGAAGCCCATAAATCCCACCCTGGCCAAAAATGACCACCACTGCCACGCCACGGCCCACCGCAGCTCAGCGAGCTGCCCCGTCCAGCCTGGCGCTGGGCCATCGGCATCTACCAAGGGCGCGGCCTTGAAGTCACCAAGGCAAACAGAGTCTTCCACCCCCAAAGATGTCCTGAAACACACCTCCTGACATGAGCACTGACTCACTAACCCTTACATCATATTTCGAGATCACCCGTTACCAAGAGCATCAGCTCTCAGAAAGTGAATTTCCTCCTTTCTAAGTTTTGGGGCCCTTTTCCGTTTTAAACAGTCTTTCTAATCCTGATCCATCTTCTAAAGCAAAGTCCTTTAAATTTGATATTTTCCATGCAGCGAGCACATCTTAGAACTCTCACTGGGATGAGAGGTAGCAAGGGCAGCGCTTCCCGGCCAGGGCGGCATTTGTGTCTCCTGGTCAGTCCCTCGGAGGAGCAGGATTTACCAGTGTCTTCAGGCAACACTGGCAATCCTGAACGAGAGTTGGCAGCGACCTGCCTGAGCCACCCTCTGATGACGCCCAGTTGGGAAGACCGCCCCCTCCACGTGGTCAAACTCATTCCCACCTCTGCACTAACGCCGGACGGGCTGACGTCCGCCACAGGGCAGGCCGGAAGGTGCACTCAAGTCTCAAACAAAAGGCCAGAGCTCTTACTGATTTAAACATCAGCCTTCAATCGCTTATCTCAGTACTTGAAAGGAGGACTAAGTTCATTTTTTAAAAACTTAAAAATTTTTGATTAGGTAACATATACCCACGCTATATAATTGAAAAGGTGCAGAAGGGAACACAAGGAAAAGTCAGTCTCCCCCCAGGAAGCCAGCTGCCTCCTAAAGGCAACAGCTGCCATCCGTCCCAGGTCAGCTGGAGAGCGGGCGGCCATGCAGCTTACTCTGATTGTCAGAAAATTCTAACCGAAGCAATAAATGCCGAATAGTGAACAAAAACCTCACTAGACACAAGGGAATCAGGAAGTGGAAACAAAGCCCAATAAAAGCAAACAAAAAGCACCCCCCTCCCCAAAGCAGGGTCTCTCCAGTCCTGTGAACGATGTTTAAAGTGCACAGATTGTAGCACTAGGTCCACACCGCCCGGTGAGAGACTCGCCCACCCACTGTGGACCAGCTGACCCAGCCTCGCTCGTCCATGCCTGGTCAGTCTGGACTGGTCACACGTCTCTCGGTTTCTAAAGACTTACGGACATCAAAGTAACCTTGGCAAAGCTGCTGAGCCATCTCACCTGCAATTCAGACGCCTCCACATATATGTCAGAAATAATTCAATGCAACTGACGCTTTCAAAAAACATGTCTAATTACAGATCCCAAAGGACAGTGTGGCCAATTAAAGCTGAACTTGAGACATTATCATCCATAAGTTGATTTCCCCAGGAAATGTCAGAGAAAGACACATCTCTCAGGAAATTATTTAATTTTATAGTTCTCGATACTGGAGCTCCCTCCCTACAATATCACACCCTACCAATCTCGTCTGTGCTTTTTTTTTTCTTTTGAGGAAGATCAGCCCTGAGCTAACATCTGCTGCCAATCCTCCTCTTTTTTTTTGCTGAGGCAGACTGGCCCTGAGCTAACATCCGTGCCCACCTTCCTCTACTTTATATGTGGGACGCCTGCCACAGCATGGCTTGACAAGTGGTGCGTAGCTCCGCACCCGGGATCTGAACTGGTGAACCCTGGGTTGCCCAAGCAGAGCGTGTGAACTTAACCACTACGCCGGCCCCTGTGCTCTCCTTTTTCACCAGGTTTGCAAGCCCCTGTAAGATGGAGACGATACTCCTTGCAGTATTCATATCACTGGCCCACAGCCTCACTGGTACATGTTTGTTCAATGACTGAATTAATGATGACACTGATGCAGTAATCACGATCCCGTGGACAGACAGTTCATCCACTTCATAAACCCCTATCTCACCACGACAAAACATTTTCAAATAGCATTTGTGTTTTATAACATAGAGAATGAAGTTAAAAAGAACCTCATAAAAGGTATTTTCAGCACATATGCACTTGACGAAGGACACGTACGAATGAGGAATCCAATACAAGAACTGGACAGGAAGCGATCAGACAGTTAAAGAGAAGGAAGTGCAAACACAACATACGAAAAATGCTCAGCCTCACTCCTGATAAACGCAAATTACAACTACCTGAGATGCTGTTTTCACCCATCAGACTGACAGAGGTCAGCAAACGTCTCACACATGCTGTTGGTCAGGGTGGGGAGGCTGGCTGTGTGCAGGGCTGTGTGTGGAAACTGCTAACACTTGTCCTGGGCAATGGCAGTCATGCCACTCGGAAGGCAGTGTGGACACGTACCCACGGGTACATACCACGTTATTCGCCGTAATCCTGTGTTTAATAGTGAGAGACTGGAAACGGCCCACGTGCCCATCTACGGTCAAACAGATGATGGTGCATCGACACAGGGGCAACACCACACAGCTACAGAAGAACACAGGAGTCCTGCACGTCCTAAAGAGGAAACTTCTCAGACATGTGCTGTTGAGTGAAAAGATACAGGCTCCACCGGTGCAGATGTTGTGCTCCCACCTGAGCCAAAGTGGGGAGTGTGACTCTGCACACAGCACTCTCTGAAGTGACTCTGCACACAACACTCTCTGATGGAAACAGACGCAACAACGCTGGTCCCCATGGGAGGGCTGGGGGTGAGGGAAGACTGGACCAGACCTCGTGAACTCTGAACCAAGAGAATGTACTTCCTTCTCAAAGAAACCAACCCAAAGGCTAGATGCTCAACTTCTTGATCAGAAATAATGCCCAATTCCTTAAAAAAGAACTTTCCAAGGAGGTAAAATTATGATTATTAAAATATATTATTACACATATGTAAACACTTACAGTAACAGCATCTCATTTAATACTCTCAGCAAACCTCTGAGGCAGAAATTACTATTATTCCAATTGTACTGATGAAGAATTAAGGCATTGGAAGGTTAAATGCTGTGAAATTAAGGAAACCTTAACTAAACTGGATGGGGAAGGCCTGCGGGGGGAGCGCTCAGCCCATCACATGCTGTCGATCACACCAAAGAGGCAATGAGACCAAGGAAGAGACAGAGCACCTTCCACAGCAAGTGCAGCTACTTTACTAGGAGGGAAGATTTCTCTCCCCAAGGGCAACAGCCCAGCCAATGAGAAATGCCACAGCTCAGCCAATGAGAAATGCCGCAGCCCAGCAAATGGGAAACGTCGCAGCCCAGCCAATGAGAAATGCTGCAGCTCAGCCAATGAGAAATGCCACAGCCCAGCCAATGGGAAACGTCGCAGCCCAGCCAATGAGAAACATCACAGCCCAGCCAATGAGAAATGCTGCAGCTCAGCCAATGAGAAATGCCGCAGCCCAGCCAATGGGAAACGTCGCAGTCCAGCCAATGAGAAACACTGCAGCCCAGCCAATGAGAAACATCACAGCCCAGTCAATGAGAAACGCTGCAGTGCAGCCAATGAGAAACATTGCAGTCCAGCCAATGAGAAACGCCACAGGTCAGCCAATGAGAAATGCTGCAGTGCAGCCAATGAGAAGCGCCGCAGCTCAGCCAATGAGAAATGCCGCAGCCCAGCCAATGAGAAGGTTGACGCCCTGATCTGTTCCTCTCCCCCAGTGGACTCCCCTTTAGGACAGCCCCCCCTTCTCTAAAAGCAGCTCCCTCTTGCTCTCTGCATTTGCCCATGGTTCTCCATTGCCTGCACGGCCTGAATTGCAGTTCTTTCGGTTATTCCTGAATGAACTCATTTTGAGGGTAAAATAACAGGCAAATTTGCTTTTTAAAAGTTGACAATACTGTGCCTACTGTCTCATAATTACTAAATTGTGGAATACGAATTTCTTTCCTGACAACATTTGGCATCTGAAAGCAAGGTGAGAGGGACAGAAAAAAGTGGCAAAGATAAAGAGACTGAAGAAAGTCTGGAAGGATCATCTTCACGAAAAAAAATTAAACTTTAAACATGTAAGGAGAACCTGTTGACTGGCATAAGCTTTCGTCTAACAAGACTAGAAAGTTATAAACAGCCTCATCTAATTTCGTCCTTTTAGTATTAGGAAAAAGCTGAAAGTCCTACAGATACACTTTCACAGACAGACAATCTACTCTGTAGATAAACAGACAAGGGAGAAAAGTATTTAACAAATCTAGAGATAAAATACAATGTGAATTTGATTCTTACCATTTTCCTTTCCGATGGCAATGATGGCTCACTTATCTGGAACAAAAAGAGTTAAAATGATTTTTCAAAGGCATGTCAAAGAAGCTACTTTGCAAATATTTTCATCCATTTGCATTTGTAGCCCAATCTCAATTTTACAGAGGTAGACTATTTTTTTTTTTTTTTTTTTTTTTGCTGAGGAAGATTTGCTGGAGCTAACATCAGCAGCCAATCTTCCTCTTTTTCTATGTGAGCCACCTCCACAGCATGGCCACTAACAGACGAGTGGTGCAGGTCTGCAGCCAGGAACTGAACCCAGCCTGCAGAAGCCGAGCTGCTGAACTTAACCACTAGGCCACTGGGGCTGGCCTTAGACTCTACCTGACGGCTGTTCCTCCTGAACACATTTAGGTGGACCAGTGGAGAACGAGAGGAGAAGGGATAACTTAATTCCCTGTCAATCAGGAGCACAGAACAGAGCTGGAAACAGGGAGAAGGGGAAGACTATCAGGTAAGCTGGTCTGAACTACCTAGATACGTTTTATTTAAATAAATAAATTTTATTTATTCTTGGCTCCCATTACCTTGCACAATTATAGGGTTTGGGATAGTTATACTACAAAATTAACAGAAAAAAGCCATGGGCCATCACATCTTCTAAATTGTAGGAAGTTACAGCAACACACAAACAGGCCCAACCCCCAACATCAGAGGTGATTCAAGTCTAATCGACCGATATGAAAATCCTGTAGAAACAGGTTTTTGCTGAGAAAGGGAAAAGAAATGAAAGTATAATATTGATAATTATAGTCATATTCATGTAGAATTCTGAAATGACATTAAGAACTCTATTAAATTTATATAAAATTATGAGGAACTGTGTATGTTTCACTATCTGGATTCACACTGAATAGAATTTACAGTTCTTTGTATACACAGATGCAAATTTAGGAAATAGGCTTAATGTGCTGAGACAAACTTTTAGAAATAACTTAAATCTATGTTGAGTTCTAGTGCGATAAATCTACGTTGTGATAAGAGTACGGATCACAGTGAATCATGCTGAGGTTTCCCGTGTGACACGTAAGGGACTTGTTATAAAATTCATCAAGCTTTTCGTTGTTGCATAGGATTCGTGTAAAAGATTCAAAACAAAACACACAGGTCGGTGAGTAAATAAATAGGTTATTGAGTAAATAAGCACAGGGCTTTCATTTGATCATATTTTACAGTTTGGCCAAATACATACCATGTGCAATTAGATAGTATCTAGGAAGTCTTTGCAAAAGTGGGAAAGGAAAAATGAATGATAGTTGACTTAAAATTAAGAAAAAAATTAAGGTAATACTGACATTTTCAGTGGCATAGGAAATTCTACTATATACTCCTCCTTAGAAGAAAGAAAAACATTATCTTCTTTCAGGGTGTAATGAAGCTGGTAGAAAAGACTCTACCATTTTTGCTACCATTCAAATAAACTAATTTTAAATAGGGCTTTTACGAGATCTCCTTCAGATATTATTAATTCTCCTCCTTCCTTCTTCTTACACTTAATTAGTGAAATCCTGGTAATAAAAACAAGAGCAGGCCTCCCACTCTAACACTGGAACACTTGTCTCCACAAAGAAGGATGAAACATCAACATGCAGGTTTTCACAGAGTATGTTTGTTACAACTCACCCTCTCAATACTTACAAACATCAAATGTGGCTCACCATATTCTTGACTTTATTTAACTCCCTCAAAGAAAGTGAGACTCAGATAACAGATTTAAATGGGCACTTTCCTCTTGTAACTGAAAAATTATGGTTTTTTAAGTCTTACCATACTAAAGAATCAAGACTGTTCCCAAACTTACTTTAACGATGAGACATTTATTTTACTGAATATGTTATTGTTCATCTTTGCAGAAATTCAGTAGCTGTGTTTTCCCCTTAGGCATCAGACAACAAACCATATATTGCATTACACGTCTGGTGTCTACTTCCCATGTTATACAACGGTGACACACCAGTGAGTTATCCCCAAGTATGTCAGACACTGAGCTAGCGAGTACGTCAGACTTTTGAACTTGAGATTAAAAGAAAAAGGCGTCTATAAAATTGGTTTTGAGAAGTAAACATATTAACAAGGAAGTGAATAACAGAAAAGAACCAAAAGCAAACGCAAGACTGAAATTCCTCACCTCCTGTTGTTCTGCGCATTCCCGATGCCTCCGAGCTGCCTCATGCCTCCATAACTTGAGGCAAACTAGCGCACCGATGAGATAAACCATCATGGTGACAAACAGGAAGATCATTGCCGCGATCTGTCCTCCCTCGACCCGGCAGAACCCCGCGTTCACGGGCGTGTTAAAGAGCGGGTAGTAGCACAGGCCCCCTCGGTTGGTGTCGTTCACATAGACTATGGCTGCGGCCATATACAAAATAAACAAGGCCACGTTAATTCCAAATTCAGTTAGGGGCCACCAGTTGGAGTCCAAAAGAATGGTCCGATAATACATGGACATGCCCAGAACCAGAATGATGAGGGTGGTGACCCACGATAATCCCGCAACCACAAGCACGAAAGGGGTTTTGGGGCCAGTGTAGTAAGAGCCTCCATACATGCTGCCCAGGCTGCCGACGCCCCCCACGCCATAGGGCTGCGAGTATCCGAACAGGTTGTACCACTCGCTGTCCTTGTGAATGTACGCGGTGACACAGGCGAAGACGCCGGCCCCCAGGAGCAGCTCCGCCACGCCCAGAATCCTCAGCAGGCCGGCCCAGGACTTCATGTACGAGTATCTCAGGTGGTACTCGGCCACCCGCTCACTGTAGGTCAGCGCCGACTGCGTGTGGCGGCCCAGAGACCCACAGGCCTCCAGGGGGAACATCGCCTCGGCCTCTCTCAGGGGACCGGATGCTCCGTCCAACCCTGTGTAAGGACCTCTGCAGGAGCTGGGCGCTGAGTGGGGGTCCGGTCTCGCTGGAGAGGCCGGCGGGGAACACTCCACTCCATCGGAGATGTATCTGATGTCAGACACCGGCTTCTCCCATTCGGGGTCCTTTTTCTTCCCTCTGAAGAAGTTCTTCCAGGACTCGGGGACAAAGCGCCTCACGGGTTTGAGATCTGGCGCTATGGCCGGTTCCTCTGTGTCACTTGAACAGAAGGCCGGGCCGAACGGCGGCTGTAACGGGAGAGGCGGTGGTGGCAGGGGATCAGCGCTGTCGGCCAGCTCGCTATCATGAAGAGACTGGAGGGTTCTCACGGTGCCATCCTGATAGGGCAAGTCCCTCGGGACCTCATCGTACCGCCTGTCCCGATTCCTGGATCTCCCGTCATTTGACGACATTTGTGATCTTCACACCTATGGCCAAGATTGAAGTTATCACTTACGCTCAGTTACCTATCCTTTCAGTGATGCTGACTTTATTCACTTAGTAGCAAATGATGATATTTAGGAAGCCCACATAATCATGTCTAATTATTATGATACGTAAAAATGATAACATAAATATGTATGTTTTAAACATATGTTCAACAATTATGTTAGCCAGGGAGGCAGTCGACATTCTATGTGATTTTTTTTTTTTTTTTAAAGATTTTATTTTTTTCCTTTTTCTCCCCAAAGCCCCCCGGTACTTAGTTGTATATTCTCTGTTCTGGGTCCTTCTAGTTGTGGCATGTGGGATGCTGCCTCAGCGTGGTTTGATGAGCAGTGCCATGTCCGCACCCAGGATTCGAACCAACGAAACACTGGGCCGCCTGCAGCAGAGCGCGCAAACTTAACTGCTCGGCCACGGGGCCAGCCCCCTCTATGTGATTTTAAGGGCCATCAAAATTTAAATCCTGGCTCTGAATTAAAATATTAAAAGTCTAATTTATCTATGAGCCCTATAAACAACAAAATGTAAAAACCAAAAACAAGACTAAATGTTAACAATACAGGATGCTGACACATCCCAGGTATTTAAGAGTCTGAGCGTACCGAAGTCAGACAGGTCAGAGAATCCTCCTCTTCTCCTCACCTCGAATCTGCTCCGGCGGCCCAGGAGAGGCAGTCTGTTCATACACGGGTGAGGCCCCTCCTGCCTAAACCAGGGAAGTCACTTCAATGGGGTGGCCTCTTCCACTCTGAATACCAACACTTGTACTAGATTTGAAAAAGTGAATTCTCAGAGAAAAAGATCACGGGAGGCGAAGCCCAGAGCAGCAGCAACGGCCGAGTGCCCACCTCTGTGCAGAGCTGTGATCTAGAGGGGCCTGCTGTCCCAAAGAAGACACTCAGACAGTGTCCTAGAGGGGGTTCCATCCACCTAAAAACAAAGCACAGAGAAAGCACGCTTACTAGACCTGCTGATTCCCGTCATGACCTCGATGACCTGGGCAGCACCCAGAGGAGTGGGGAGTGCAGCCACCGGGTCTAGGGCACGCTGAGGCTCCCCCACAAACTGCTCTCTGAAGACTTACCAGGCACCCCGCATTGCACACGGCAACGTGCCGGTCTCAAAATGTACACGGATAACCCTACCTCTATGGTGTGGAACAAGTCAGAAATTCCTAAGGTTTTGTTTTATTTTACTTTGTAAAATGGAGACCTATTCCTCCACGAATATTTACCCAGCACCTGCCTCGCACCAGATACGCTGAAGTGTATCCCGAGTCCCTGCCTCTGTGGAGCTTAAATCCCCGTGGGGTGACGCGACAGACCGGGGATTGAAATGCACTGGACGATGCGGATCGCACTGCGGGCAGGGTGTTACAATTTTAAACAGAATGACCCGGGAAGTTTGCACAGAGAACGTGACATCTGAATACAGAAACGAAGGTGGAGAAGGAGGAACTAGGCGGGTCCCAGGGGGAAGTGCTCCAGGCAGACAAATGGCGAGTGCAGAAGCCTTGAGGCAGGAGCGCCGGCACCGGCCAGGAGCAACTGAGGCACGGAGGCCAACGTGGCGGCATAGCACGCGGGCCACGGCAGGAGAACTGAGGCCGTCTGCTTCATCAGCGCTTGAAAACCACTGGAGAGAACTTTGGCTCTTACTGGGGGAGGGGAGAAGCCTCTGGGGGATTCTGAGGAGTGACTCGTTCTGGGTGCAGAATTGAGAGGCCCCTCCAGGAGACCAGGGCGGATGCAGGGGGGATGGGCTAGGACCCCACCGAGAGAACCCCGTGGACCACGCTGGTGGCAATGCAGACAGCAAGAAGAGGTCCAATGCTAGAGGAAGGGAATTAAAGTTTTCTATTATAGAAATTTTCAAACAACAAAAAGTGGAAAGAACAGAATTATGAACCCTTATGTACCCACCAAACAGCTTCAACAAGGATCGACTTACGACGGGTCTCGGTTCCTCTACTCCTACCTTACTCTCTCTGCCAATGGATTACTCTGAAGCAAATCGCAGACACACCGCTCGTCTGCAGCCTTCTCCACCCCTTCCTCAGCCCTGGGGAGAGCAGCCTGCGAGGGTCTGAGAGACCGGTTAGGGACCCACGTGGAGAGGCCCGGTACCGCCAGAGACCAGACAGAGTCCCGGCGGTGAGTGGAGATGGAGGCCGGGTCCACGCTCCCGGGTCTTCTGACCGCGCCCTCCGATTTTAGAGAATTAACTGCGACAGTCCCAGCACGGTGCCCAGTGCAAAACAGGAGCTTTAAAAATGATAGCAATTAGCAGTTATTTTTGTCTTTTATCTCTGTTGTCTAAAAGAGCTTAAATTCTAGAAATGCACAGAGCACTATGGTTTTGAAATGCATTTTCCTAAGAAAAGTGGAAGAGCACCGCGAACAACTTTGGCAAGCTTTACACAATCTCCACCAGCATCTGGGGTCCACACGCATCTGGAGGACACGGTGGCTTCACCTCTCTCACCGGCGCAAGGGATGGATTTAACTCACCTTCACCTGTGAAAAGTGGCTTATTCGAATGAGACCTTACTGACGCTCAAACAAACAGGAGAGGACGTGTCTGAGGACCGCGGGGCAGCACACGGCGCTTCGAGCAGGAACGCTGGGCCGCGCCGCCCCGTCTGGCACCCGGCGCCCCCTCCGCGGCCCGGACCCCGGGGCGCCCCGCGCCGTCGGCCTGCAGGGCTCCGCTCCCGCCCGCCCGGAGGGGGCGACGCGACGTTCCCGGGCCCACGGCCGGCCGGGCTGCGGCGGCGGCTGCGCGGGGCCACACGAGCTCCTCGCCGGGCCCCGGAGCCCCCGCCGCCCGCGTCGGCGGGAGAACCACTCGGCCCGTCCAGGCCCCGCCCAAACCGCCGGAACTGAGTCGGGCCGGACGTCCAGCTCCGCGTCCCGGGACCCGCCGGCCGCGGCGGCTTCGCGGCACCTGCGTCCCGGTGAAGCCAGGCGGGCGCTGCCTGCGCCCCAGGCCCGCGCCCGGACCCCCCGCCCCGCACCTGCCGCGGGGCCAGGCCCCACTTCGTCCCAGCCTCGGCCCCTTCCCCCCCCCCCCCCGGCGCCGGGTCCTCCTCCCCGCGTGCCCCGCCCCACACCTGCCCGGGCGCCGGGCCCCACTTCGTCCCAGCCTCGGCCCCTTCCCCGCCCCGCCCCGGGCGCCGGGTCCTCCTCCCCGCGTGCCCCCGCCCCACACCTGCCCGGGCGCCGGGCCCCACTTCGTCCCAGCCTCGGCCCCTTCCCCGCCCCCCCCCGGGCGCCGGGTCCTCCTCCCGCGTGCCCCGCCCCACACCTGCCCGGGCGCCGGGCCCCACTTCGTCCCAGCCTCAGCCCCTTCCCCGCCCCGCCCCCGCCCCGGGCGCCAGGTCCTCCTCTCCGCGTGCCCCCGCCCCACACCTGCCCGGGCGCCGGGCCCCACTTCGTCCCAGCCTCGGCCCCTTCCCCGCCCGCCCCTGCCCGGGCCCCGAGCACTCCTCCGCGCGCCCCCGCCCCGGGCGCCGGATCCTCCACCCAGCGTGCCTCCGCCCCGCACCTGCCCGGGCGCCGGGCCCTCCTCCCAGCGCACCCCCGCCCCGCACCTACCCGGGCGCCGGGCCCTCCTCCCAGCGCACCCCCGCCCCGCACCTACCCGGGCGCCGGGCCCTCCTCCCCGCACCTGCCCGGGGACTCCGAGGCGCGCCCCGCCGTCCAGCCCGCGGGCCCCTCACCTGCGCGGCGGCCGGGAGGAGCGCGCACGCCCGCGGCGCCGCCGGGCGGGGCTCGGGGCGGGTGGGTGAGCAGGGCCCGCCCCCGCCCCCGCCCCCGCCCCCGCCCCCGCCCCGCCCCGCGAGCCTTGGCAAAGAGCCCAGCGGGCGACTACCCTGACGCATCCCCCCTGCCTGCAGGGACCCCCGCAAGGCTGCCATCCGCTTCCTACTCTAGTGTTTGAAAAGTTGGACAGGGATGAAGGAGATTCGTGGACTATGCCCAATGACACACGGCAGACAGCACGTTAGGAAATGTTACAGATGGGAGAAACAAAGAGATTCAACACTTTAATTTTGATATAAATTACGTAAATACTTTCCAAAAATATCTAAAATATTCCACTGTACAACATAGGAAAACAGTATCTGAGAAGGTAGAGACCATAGAGAAACTGCGAATAAGGCACCAAGTTTATTTACACTTACAACTGCATGCTAAACTGCTTCATAATGCATATTTACAACCCCATAACGTTTTTGTATTCTCAATTATTCCTTCACATTTTCTGATATTTGGCATAATGTTCAAACACACTTCATACACACTGACTTCCTCTCCCAACACCACTCACAAGACTAAATAAATACTAGAGAACAAAATGGAGATCTTATTTGAAAGCTTGATCTTCTATTCACTGCAGGATGAGAGGGGCAGCTCCTTGTGCTGGAAAACAAGAGTGAAGAACTGACGAGCCGTGATTCACCTGAGAAGTGTTTCACCTCTGTTCAAGCACCAAGGAGGGACACTCATCCGGCCCCATCCAGTGGCAGCGTGCCCGGCGGGCTGGTTTCTACGTCCCGTCACTCTCATAGTCTTCTATGACCAGCTCGTCGTCTTCCATGTCTCCCTGGGCTGAAAAGGGCTGAGGCTGGCTGGCAGGCAGTTCACTCCCACTGCTCTGACTCAAAGGAAGAGACCAGGTTTCGGGTTCAGGGGTTTGAGTGGTCTCACCCAGAGCTTCCTCTGCAGGCTGCCCTCCACTGAGCTGGGCTTCATCTCCACTGTCGGCACCTATCATTGCAGGCTCCCTGTCCATCAGGGCTTCCATTTTCAATCTGCAGATTCATAAGGCAGGCGTCAATAATAACCCAAGGGGATGCCTCTAAATCACACGGTGAGAGTGAGGATTACGACGCCACCTCTAGTCCTTCATTTACCTTCACTGAGCTCACCTTTAGCGAGGCCCTTTAGTTCACTTAACAATATAAACAAAAGTACAAGTAAATGACAAACTGAATAAATCATTATAACTCACAATACAAAGGAGTTGATTAATGTCTTTGGTCTGACAGGGGCCAGCCCCATGGCCGAGAGGTTAAGTTCCTGCGCTCTGCTTCGGCGGCCCAGGGTTTTGCTGGTTTGGACCCTCGGCATGGACATGGCACCACTCATCAGACCACGCTGAGGCGGCATCCCACATGACACAACTAGAAGGACTCACAACGAAAATATACACTCGGTACTGGGGGTATTTGGGGAGAAAAAGCAAAGAAAAAAAAAGATTGGCAGCAGTTGTTAGCTCAGGTGCCAATATTTAAAAAAAAAAAAGGAAAATGGGCATCAAATATGGACAACTTACAGAAAAAACACAAATAACTAAATAAACTGTTCAATCTAATTTGTAATTTTAAAAATGGAAATTAAGATAATGACTTATTATTGTCATCTTTTAAACAAGTTAGCATCTTTTAAAATAATAAAACCCAGTGGTGGCAACAGTTAGGAGAAAAGAACAAGCTGATACACTGTAAATGGACATGAAACCGGCAAAATAGTCTTGGAAGCAACTAGCAACATAGAGCAAAGGCCTTAGAAAGGTGTATACACTGATTCAGCAATTTCATTTCTAGGAAAACACCCTACATAAATAGTATTTGATGTGCACGCAGATTTAGCTACAAGGAAGGCTGGGATAATAGAAGTTGGAAACAAGCTAAATGTATAAAAATATGATGCAGGTTGAATTATAGGAAACCATGCAGCTATTATTAAATATTAATATTAAATATCAGTATTTAACATTATCAGTATGAACCAAAGATGATGTTAAATATGACCGTCATAAATGAAAGACAACAGTTCTAGTCATTGTAATAAGCAGCACTGACACATCCTGCCTCGCAAGTCAGATCAAGTAGATGAACCAACAATAGCGGTCACAAAGGGTTAAAGGGCCCTTTTCAAAGCTTTCTAAAATGCCTGAGCGCATAATTTGACCATACAAATAAGCTAAGTGGAAATGAAATATATGTGTTAATCACGGATATGAGCCCAGAAGCAACTGTGCAATGAAATGAACAGTACAGATACAGTTACCTCTATTTTTCCTAATCTGAATTTTCTATGATACGGAAATAAAAAGAGTGCTTTTGAGGTAGTTCCTGATCATCACAGGCTTCAAACCTTGGCAGGAAAGCTAAAAAGGGGTTTCCGGATATGCAAGATTTGGTGAACTAGAGGATTTCAGAGATTCCTCCACCTCTCTGATTGCAGGATTCTATTTAGTCTGATGTTACACTGTGAGTGGGTGGAAACACACTGTGAATAGTAAAAAAATGATGGGTCTACAATGCACATACCTGATACTCCATGGTGAACGGGTGAAAATACGCTCTGATATGCAATAAAATAAGGGGTCTACAATGCAATCATATCTGATACTCCACTGTGAGCGGGTGGAAATGCGCTGTGATATGTTTTTAATAAAATGATGGGCCTACAACACAATCACATCTGATAGTCCCCTGTGAGCAGGTGGAAATGCACCGTCATATGTAATATAATGATGGGTCTACATGCAATCACATCTGATAGTCCCCTGTGAGCGGGTGGAAATGCGCTGTCATATGTAATATAATGATGGGTCTACATGCAATCACATCTGATAGTCCCCTGTGAGCAGGTAGAAATGCACCGTCATATGTAATATAATGATGGGTCTACATGCAGTCACATCTGATAGTCCCCTGTGAGCAGGTGGAAATGCACCGTCATATGTAATATAATGATGGGTCTACAACACAATCACATCTGATAGTCCCCTGTGAGCAGGTGGAAATGCACTGTCATATGTAATATAATGAGGGGTCTACATGCAATCACATCTGATAGTCCCCTGTGAGCAGGTGGAAATGCACTGTCATATGTAATATAATGAGGGGTCTACATGCAATCACATCTGATAGTCCCCTGTGAGCAGGTGGAAATGCACTGTCATATGTAATATAATGATGGGTCTACATGCAATCACATCTGATAGTCCCCTGTGAGCAGATGGAAATGCACCGTCATATGTAATATAATGATGGGTCTACAACACAATCACATCTGATAGTCCCCTGTGAGCAGGTGGAAATGCACCGTCATATGTAATATAATGATGGGTCTACATGCAATCACATCTGATAGTCCCCTGTGAGCAGGTGGAAATGCACTGTCATATGTAATATAATGATGGGTCTACATGCAATCACATCTGATAGTCCCCTGTGAGCAGGTGGAAATGCACCGTCATATGTAATATAATGATGGGTCTACATGCAGTCACATCTGATAGTCCCCTGTGAGCAGGTGGAAATGCACTGTCATATGTAATATAATGATGGGTCTACATGCAATCACATCTGATAGTCCCCTGTGAGCAGGTAGAAATGCACTGTCATATGTAATATAATGATGGGTCTACATGCAATCACATGTGATAGTCCCCTGTGAGCAGGTGGAAATGCACTGTCATATGTAATATAATGAGGGGTCTACATGCAATCACATCTGATAGTCCCCTGTGAGCAGGTGGAAATGCACCGTCATATGTAATATAATGAGGGGTCTACAACACAATCACATCTGATAGTCCCCTGTGAGCAGGTGGAAATGCACTGTCATATGTAATAAAATGATGGGTCTACATGCAGTCATGGTCTTCAATCACTGGTACAACATGTATTTCTTGGATTGTAATTTTCAGATAACATTGATTGATTGTATACTGAACAAACAGATATATTCAGTGGATATTACAGTAACAGCTCTTTGAAAATTAAAATGATCAGCTTACCTTCCAAAGTGTCGCTTCAGAGGAAGCCTTCCAATATCTTGGATAAAAGAAATCTGAGCTGAAACAGAGATTTAAAAAAACCTTTAAATAGACATTTCTCCAAAGAAGATATACAAAGGGCCAATGGGAACAGGAAACATACTCAAAATCGCTAATCATTAGGACAATGCAAATCAAAACCAAGAGATACCATT